ATATTTCAGCCAGTTCTAGACAGAGGTTGTTCATATTTATCCTTTACACAACCTCCCTGTGTAATATCCCACCCATGGAGTGTTGAGGGCACAAGCAGGAGTGAATTAACATTTAGGTTTCGTGTTAGACACCTGCACTGCCAAAGGATGATGACTCTTTCCTGGAAAATGACCTTTAGAACCCCCCAACGCCCCTGCTGTCCTTGCTGTCACACCTGCGATGGTTTTTGCTCTACCAGAACCTGCCTGACAACATATTTCCAGTTCACGTTCTTTATCTTCTCACCACAAGTTGCTAAAGTGCCTTATGGAATATTTGTTAAATGCTTGTCGAAATTAGAACAGACTCTGATAAATACCTGGTCAAAGACGTGCTGGTGTTTGGCAAGAGCTGGTCCATTGAAAAGGTGTTTGATGACGCTGAGATCCAAAATCTGGTCCCCAATGGCCACCCCAAGCCTGTGCCGAGGCTGCAAAGCAGCAAGAGGAGGGCGGAAGACAAGAAAAGTTTATGCTTGTAGCCAAAAATGCTCCAAAGAGGGCATAGGGGGAGACAGTGACCACAGAGAGTCCAGGACAAAGGTCTGGAACCACAGCAATGAACCTTCAAGAGCCATCTGAGTCTGGCTGCTGAAAAAGGTTAAGCCCTATGGGCAGAGCATCACTGCAGACTCCCTGCAGACCCTGAGGGGTGGAAAAGAGCCTCATCCTCATCTTTTGGGGAAAGAATAGCACAACAAGCAGAGGTTTCTCTCCCTGCCCTCTTTCCCCCAGAAGAGGCTGATTTGCTCATTAACACCCCTCATTAACAACAAGCATTGCAGATTAAGCCCATACATCTGCAGTATCCTGCTCCTCCTGCCAATGGGGAACAGAGGCAGAGAGAGGCCAATGGGCAGGGTGAATTCCATTCCTGTGGGCATGCCCTTGGAGAAACAGCCATTTCTGCAGCCCAGCTCCTCCCCAGAGGACAGAGGGTGCTCTGGTGGTGCCAGGGGACACACCATGCCCAGGCACATGGTTTCTGTGCCTCGCTGGATGAAGCTGCCCTGCACCACCCATCCTCACAGCACACCAGGAGCTCAGGAGCAGCACACCGAGCCCAGGCTGGACCCTGGCTGCAGGAACAGCATCCCACACATGGGAAATGGCACAGATGCAGCCCAGGAGACAAAGCTCCTGTTCATGGCCCAGGCCGTGCGGAGCCAGCGGCGACAGACCCAGGGCAGCTGCACGGGGCAGAAACACACCACAGCCTCCATCATTGTGTCTCTGGGCAAAGAGAGGCAAGCTATTACAGCCACTCTGAAAAGCAGCTCACCAAAATAACCATCTTCAAAGATACGCTATTAAACCCATTTTTCAACCTTTCATTTCCAAACAAGATTCCAAATGTGGTAGTAGGCACTTATTCAGCAAACATTCCTGCAGAAAAAAACCTAAAGGTCATGTCAGGTTAATTTGTAACTGGGATAGTCAGGAATGACACCAATTATTTTAGCCTGAAATCATTAAAACATTCAGCTACCATCAGAACATTGTTCTCCTAAATAATTTCTGTAAGTCTTGCCTGTCATTTCACAGGGTTTGAGTGAAGATGTCTTTTTCAGAGAACAGTTACTGAGGAAGGCAGAAAAATAATCCAAACTTGCTAGATAACAGCATGCACATCTTGGAATAGATTAAACACACCATCTCATTTTATCTTCAGAAAATACCACTTCAGAAAACACAATCTTCAGGTTGCCTTTTTTTTTTTTTAACCTACATGGATAACTAGCAGAAACCAGAAGATAATGATGAAGTTTCCATAAGCAATGACAAATAAATTCTCCACTTTTTCCTTCTGACAAGCAGCTCTTGGCTTGTTTCCCTTTCTCCAGGAGCTCCATCCTGTCAGGCACTCAGAGGTGTGAGGTTCAGCCTAGTTGGGCTCAGTTCTCATGAAAATTGGGAATTGAGAGCTACCTCCTTGGTAGAAAGGTTGAGTCACATTTTCTTATGTGATCATCATAAAATAGAACGCCTGGAGCTGGCTCAGCTGGCAGGCTTTGGGCCCAGCTTTAAACATGACACATTTGCACACACTTAATGCAGCATTGCATAAACATACACCCAATAGAACACAATGGGGCAGCTGCAAAAACAGGTAAAACACACATTTGGTGCCCTGGTTTAATGCTTTGGCAGCCACCAGCAAAACTCCTCAAGAGTAGCAGTTAATGGGGTTTCTTAAGGGTCATGGTGTGATTACAGTCACAAAGAGAATGAAAGACTGAGTTAAAAATTAAAAAATTGAGTGTGAAATGTACTGTGTCTCTACATAGGGAGTGGAAGGGTCAAACACAGATTAAATGATGTCACAGAAATGATCAAAACCACACAAGAACTACTGTACATATTAGCCAAAGTATTTCTCATCAGTATTAACACTTCTGATTTCTTTTGTGCAATTTCAAAGAAGCTGTAATCAAAATAACCACACTAAGGAAACAGACAATGTGTCAGCTACGGCTTTGCCATCAGGTCAGGAAGCCCATGAGCGTCTCAGGCTGGGAAATCTCCCTTTATCCCACATTGCTGGGAAATTCTGCTCTCTCATAGCCCTGGAACAATTACAACATCCCAAGAACAAAGTTTGCTGTTACTCACCTCCTCCTTCGTGGAGAAAACCCCATAGGGAAGGTTTTGGAGAGGAAAATCCGAGTCCTTGTCTACCCGGATGAAAGACATGCTGAGCCCTGAGCAGCCCCTGCTTACGCACAGCTCCCACCTCCCAGGTGCTTCACACCTTCCTCGGAGGAAGATCCTCTCCAGGTGCTGCAACCCAGAGCACAGGAGCATCAAATCCCACCCTCTGTCCTCAGGCACAAACCAATCCCTGCTCCGTGGCCATCCCACCCCCTGCCCGGGCCCTGGCAGTGGTTAATCAGTGCCAGGGGTTGGCCTGAGTCAGCAGCTGGGAGCTGTTCCCAGCCAGGCAGTGACCCTGGTGAAGGGGGTCCTCTCCTCACAGGTACCTCCCCTGGGGTATTTAGATGTGGCACTGGATTTAGGGGTGGGCTTGATGTTCTTGGAGGTTTCTTCCAGCTTTAACACCTTCATGATTTTACAAACTCTCACTAAAATTGAGGCCTTCCTGTAACAGGTAACTCGCTGGGGGTGAAGGATCCAGCAGCTCCAAACTGCCCTGGTTTCACTTTGGAGGGGTCATTTATGTGCCAGGGCCCTGGTGAAATGATGATGTCCACACTGATTCTCCCACCACAAGCTCAGCAGCCCTTGGGAAGTTGCACAATTCACACCTGAAACTGCACCTTTTGTGGTTTTCAGTTTTGCAATGCTGCTGCACCTCGTCAAGTTCTTCCATTTTCTCCAGATAGTTCCACCACCTTAAAACCAGAGACATGTGCAGCCAACCAAAAAGAACAGGGAGGCTGGTGCCTCTGCTCCCAGTCCCACCATTGTCCCACCTGCAGCACAAAATTCACTCATTGTCAGTAGAAGCCAATGAGGGAACATCCTTGAAATTAGAACTAAATAGTAAAGGCCACATCTTTCCAATAAGGAAGACACTTGTGATAGCCAAGCCAAAGAATTGGTTTGCTGCTCAACCTTTTTTTGTTTCTTTTTTGGCAGTCATTAGAAGAAATGCAGCAAATGGTACAGCCAGAGATTCAGTGCAAGATGATAAAACAGCATCATCTGAGACAGCTGCTCACTCACTGAGACACAAGCTCACAAGGTGCTGTTTGAAAAGGGGTCTTATTTAAACAACACAAGACCTAGCTTGTGGAAGATTTCCTGTAAAATTGCCCCTGACTGTTGGAAATGTTTTAAACACAGTGAAGAGGTTTTGTGGACAGATTATAGGATCTGGGCTATAGAACCTGCTTATTTTAAAACTGAAACAAAACCACATTGAAAACCTGTTCCAGTACAGAGATCAACGTGAGGAGACACCCAAGCATTTTGTAGTGCTGTGAATGTGCTGGTGTTAATTAAAATGTTAATCTGCTAACCTCAAGCTGATGACACAAAATACAGATTGAAGTGCAGATCAACCACCAGGATAATACAGGGCCATGCCAAAGCAAACAAACATGACACAATTCTCAGGTGTCAGGAAAAGGTGGACACCCAGTCTAAATGTAAGCTTATACAAAAGATAGGAAGTATGTGAATACTTTTCTTGTACCTTTCCCTCTTTCAGGCACCAGAACACACAAACATACCCGGTTTTCCCCCACCTTGTGAAATCTATGGCATGTTCTCTCTGCCTGGCCCAGAAACATCACTGTCACGTGAAAGGAAGATTGGTCAGGAGGGCACATAAGGAGAGAAAAGGAAAAGAGACCAGAAATAGGGAAGAGGGAGGACTCAAAGTGAGAAGGATTAGAGAATAGGGAAGTAGCAGCAGAGAGGAAAGCAAACAGAAACACCCACCAAAGATGACACTGCTGCTCTTCCATGCCCTGTGCTGTGTAGGAGGAAGTTTAGCAAATGCTTTGAGGAAATACAGGCTCTCTGACCCATGATAAGGCAGACCATTACTGAAACTTGCCAGTAAGTTATTTATTCCTTCCTTCCTTTACTATAAGCTTCATGTGCCTCATAGATTGTGGTCAGGCCACTTCTGCAAGCACAAGCTGCTTCATTTATTATTCAGTTTTGCAGATTACTTTCTGTTACCACCAGAGAAAGCTCTTTCTGCTGCAGTTTATATCCTAAATGTAATGTTTTATCTATTAATTGCCAGCCATAGCTTTTTAAGCGCATTCTGAATTTTAAAATCAACAGACAAGGTCTGCAATCTGCAGTGTCTCTGGTAGTTACAGGTGAAGAGGTAAAAAAACACATCAGAATTTAGCTGGCATTGGGATACACATGGTAGCTCTGAATAAACACACTAAGTAAAGGAACCATCAATGGAAGGTCCCCATTAAAATAAAGCGAGAGAAATCCAACTTACATATGCCAGTGACAGCCACAGGGGCTTGGATTTTTTTAAATTTTATTTAATCAAAGTTAAGACGTGGATAAACATAAATACAGCACAGGTACTTCAGATCATTCTTCATATTTGTGTACAGACAAACTGATGGATGTAATCCCAATGAAAACTGCAGTCAATGAAGTGCATACAGCCTTCCCCCCACACACACAAAAACAAACCCCAATTAAAAAAAAGGAAAACAACAAAAAACCCCACACAATCTCAGCACACACTCTCATTACAAATGATTCATACATAAATAGGTAGAGGGTGCAAACAAGCTAATATGCGAACATGTATAACCTCTCGTTAATGGGAAAAAAAAAAACCAGAAGCAGCCATAATGATTAAAATACATTCAGTTACTGATAACTAGTTGTGCCATACAAGGCATTATCAATAAAAAAAAAAAAAAAAGGAAATTGTGCTGCAGAGAAAAGCTATATACAACAAGAAAATAAACTGCAAAGTTAACGCATGCATGTTTTATCCTGGAAAAGCACAGCCCTCCAATATTTTCTCCATGTTTGTTATAAAAGCCCTCTGCACTCAACTAAAATTAAAATGATCTTAAAGAATAATACTTGTAAAGTTTACTTAAGTCTTCAGCCACAGAAAACTGCAATGAAAATAATGTTCAGAGTCATTTTCAAAACAAAAAAAAAAAAACAAAACCAAAAAAATCTATTCATCTGATGACATGCATGATTAAAAGGTCTAGGCAAGATACACTGCTCTACGTTCCTGATGACTAAGGAAAAAAGCTCAAGTCAATTTAATCTGCAGATGGTCAGAAGATTTTTGTATTCCAGCAGAAGCAGCAGTTCAGATCTTCTGGATCTTTTCCCCAACAACTACAGGATTCTCTTTTCTGATTTTCTCAGCAGCATCAGCTTTGTAATTGTAAGAGCAACTGTGTACATCTGAGTAACGGTGCATTCCACAGTAAACGTTCCCACACCGGCACTCGAACCCTGTGGACACAAACAGCAGTTTAGACATTTCAACATTCCTGATGTCACTGGTTTGCTTTAAATCCTGAATGTGGTCACTCACTAGCAGTAAATCTCAGTCACCAGTGTCAATCAATCAGCCAAAGAGCCTCTGCTGCAGAAAGCATAAGAATCACAAGTAATACATTTTTAAGTGATTACAGCAAGATTTGACTTGATCATTCCTTCTTTTTGCATGTCACTCTAGCACAGAACATTCCTAGAGAGCTCCTGTTCTTTTGCCATGTTTATGAATCTTCACCCTCCAGAACTCAGGCCCTTTCACTGGACCACTGCAAAGCTGGCCAGTGAATGGCAGCAAACTATCATCCAATTCCTTAGCTAAGTAAGCTTCCAAAAGGAAGTATTTGGAATTATGAACTTCACTTTAAGACAGGAGGCTGAAAAACAAAATGATACATGAATGACTAATCTAGTGAGAGTCAGCTGAAAGCACCTTTGACTGTTATTTCAAATCAATATCAAATGACCATGCCCCATTTTCCCTTTAAGATAACATTTCAAAGGGCCAAAGCCTAAACAAGCCTAAGGAAAGTGAAATCAGTGTTTCTTACCAGTCAGTCCAACCTTCTTCCTGCACATGAAACAACGATTCTTTTTCTGTTTTGGTTTGTCAAGCGACTTGTCCTGTTCTTCAGGTGTAGGCTCTGCATTCTCTGACACTGAAGCTGACATAAAAAAGTTAATAAGAACAGTGGAGAAAAAAGTCTGTCTCTCCCCTTTTAAGTCCTACAACAATCTAAAGCCCATGCTGTACATTTGGCCATTTTGCTGCAGTTTCCATGTCTGAAGTGCATTGGTGTCTCCACAGCAACTGGAACTCCCCCTCTTCTAGACCTTCAATATAATTTAAGAAAAGAATTCACCAAATGCTTGAAAATACCACAAAAAATAACCAAAACAACAAACATAGGTTTAACAGCAAGATTCAGCACTGTCAGATCCAGGAAGAAAATCCAACACCCAAGTGTTTCCTCAAAGTGTTACTTGCCCAGCTCCCAAAATCTGCTTGCAAGAAGCACTCTATGTAACAGGATCAGTTGAGCCAAACACCCTCTTTCCAATCCTGAATCAACATTATTTTTGCAGAAGACTGCAACATGGAGGCCACACAAAACACAGTGTTTCAGAACAATCTCTACCATTGTGATGCTGCTGCTTTGCACTCCTGGAAAAAGCCTACACAGGACATAAGTCACTGCCTGGGGTGAGAAACACCAGCTCAAGAGATCCAGACTTACAGGGTGGAACTACACTGCACTGGAGCCCAGAAGGGAGCAGGTAAAAACCTAATTTTAAAGATATTTCTCCTAAGGCATCTTTCAACCTACTTTAGTGTTCTCTAAAAGAAACAGGTTACAGGTTGTGTGGGAGAGTATGAACATGTAATAGTAGTATTTGCCTGAGTCAGGTAAAAATAGAAGTTGGCTGGTTTCCCTCAAGTATTTGCACATTCCTTACATTACACAGCAGAAATAGAAACGAAAAAAACCCAACTTCATTTCAAGAAGGGCTAAGAGCCAACCTCTGCCTACCAGACATAGCTGGACCACAGCAGGACAAGTCTCCAGTGAGTAAGACACACAGAAGTTGGAAATATTTGCAGCAAAGAACAAAAGCAAGCTGCAGCTGGGAGGAGTGTGGATGGAAGCAGAGCTAGAACCAGTGTTGTAAGGAAGGGAATACAACAGCAAGCTCAGACATTTGTCAGGGAAAAAGCTGCAGGCATCTCTGTGCAGCTGGACTTTTGTTTGTCAGAGACTGTCAGATGCAGTTCTGTGCTAGCTCTTCACCAGCTGACAGCTCTTCTGCATGACAAATCCAGTGGGGTTTTTCATGTGCTGCTATTCTGATATTTTTTTTTTCTTTTGAAAGGAAAGGGCACTCATCACTTTTGCTATGTATCAAAACACTGTACTAAGCAACATCAATGGGTAGCAAGATACCTGATCGCCAGCAAAGACTCTGCCTGAGGGGACAGTATATTCCACAGATTAATCTAGCAAAGATACTATTATACATGGTCTATTAATTCCTTCTCAGACACCATCTATGTTACATGCAGAGCTTCTCTTTGTCCTGAAATTTATAACAATTCATAGTTTGCAAAGAAAAAAAAAGTTCAATGCCTTTAAATGGCTGTTAAAGGGCACATTTCTGAGTGGGCATAATATCAAAAGGATTGCAAGATGAGAACCAAAATCAGCAAGGACTAAAAGTGGTGAGGTAAGTACCAGAAGGGGTAAGACTTACTCAAATGAACTTTTGTACTTCTACACAAAACAGTATTGCAGTCTTTATTAATTCATTAAGACATATTCATGCCATGAGCTAACATTCTCCAGCTTGCATTTCCTGTTATAGCAAAATCAGTTACCTCAATCTAAGTTTCACTAACAGCCTCTGTAACTATTAGCTAAATTTAGGAAAAACTGGCACTCTTCCCTGCATAACAAGGCTCTCATACACCCTTACTTACATTTTCTTTGTGCGTATGGCTCTCACATTAAGAGCCTTTTTAAAGGCTTTTTAAAAGGTTTAAACCTTTTTTTAAATATTTTATTAAAATTTTTAAAAGGTTTAAAAATATTTAAGAGCTGCTGCTCAGTGTGGAACCGAGTGGGAAGATTCTTCTCCTGCATCACAAGTCACTTTGTATCTACTGTAGTAACCATAAATTTTAGGTCTCAGTTTGCTTTTGAATAGAAGCTAGAGATTTGAACCAAAATCCTCTGTGATAATCAGAAATATCCCAACCACTTTACATGCCCAAGTGCCACTGCTCAGTCTGTGAGCTACCTGTGATGACCACAGCAGAACAAAGCCAGGTAAGATGCAATGCTGTCCAGCTTGGAGCCACTCCCAGCTGCTGGACTTCACCTGGATTCCAGGATGTTGCTGCCTGCCTTCCTTGAACCAAATCATCCCTTCCCCCAGCCCCAGCCCTGCCTGCAGCCAAAGAACAGAAGTCCTGGCAGCAGCAGCACAAGCTGCCAACCAAAAAGGAGTAAGGTATGAACACAGCCATATTTCTGGAGCTGACAAGCTGGGCTGGTCACTAGAAGTTCCCTGATTTACACAACATGTTCCTAGGTGATCAAAACAAGCAGAGCCTGCATTTCCTCCTAAAGGCACAAGCTTCTCCTATTGCTTTGCTTGTGCAAACCCCCACCTGAGCTTCAGCGTGCTCTGACTGAGCACAAACACAGGAGCCACATGACAAAATGCACTCCAGCCTCTGCACCCCTGCAGGCACAGCACAGCTCTGTGTGTGCAGCAAGACACCCATCCTCTTCTCTCTCTCCATGTTTTACATTCATCACCCCTGCATTACTGGGCAGATTTTTAAAAGGAAAAGGTTTCTCATTCCTACAGAAGATCATGAACAGCTACATTTACTTAAGAGCATTTCACTAGGGCTAGTGTAAGATGCGCCCCCACGTTTCCAGAGGAGTGAAATGTGAAGTTAATCCAAAGGAGAACATCACTGCTTGTGAACATTTTAAACTGACATAATCAGCCTAAAATACACTGTTTAAATGTTAGGAAGTGGCAAATTAAGTAGGAGCACATTCACCCACAGAATTTAGTTTTAAATCTTTCTGTTGAGTGTCTCCTCTCCCCCTGGAGCATTCACCCAGTATATCATGATATCCTGTATTATTTGATACACTTGTGTCATAATCATACTCTTCCTCTGAGTGCCTGGTACTATCACAGATGTGAGAAACATCCATAAATTCCTTTCCAGTTCTGTCTACTGAGCCCCTGATAAGGCCCACTGAAGCTGAAGCCATTAGCTCAAGTGCATTCACCTTAGGTCCAAGTAACCCCAATATAAAATTCTGTAGCAACCTAATTATTTTAATCTCAAGTTTTTTAAACTTAGTTGGAACTTCACTATTTAACCTCACTAAAATCCAGATAGGCACAAAATCAGGTGACTTCATTCAGAACAGCCATGTACCTTTTAGACAGTTAATCCAATCTAACTTTGTACTTTGGTTTTCCAAATAACAACCACACCACATGACGTGAGTGATGGCATTTTGCAATGCTAACAGCACAAGCTCCTCTCCAATCCACAACAAGCTTGAAAACCACAGAGGCTGTTTTCATTCTCAGAAGTTTTCAGCCTCAGAGGGGCTGAGTCCACCCATTAGTTGGATTTCTACTTTTACCAGCATGTTCCTCAGTTGTAGGAGCTCCATAATGTTTGTGGTGGAGTCCTCCTGCCTTCCCTGGCAAGCTTCATTTACCTTTAAAACCCTCCCTGAACCAGAAGCATGAACTCTAACCTGGATGGTTTTAACCATCTTCCTTTACCCCAGGGAAGTGAAGCACCTCTTTACCTGCTTGCAGGCTTGCCTGGAGGCAGCCCTGGCTAACAAATCAGAAATCCTGACTGGATAATCCTAACAAGGATTATTATGTTGATCGTCATGTTGAGCAAAAGGCACAATAGCCCAGGAGGTAATTAAAGTTACTTGAAATAGAAGAAAGCTGCTAGAAAAGCTGGACTGTACTTCATGCCATTAAAGATTACCTAAAATGAAACTCATTTTCATGGTATTTAAGAACATTAAAGTTAAAAAATTTTATTAGTCCCTATCTTAGAGCATCTGGCCTTTTTCACTGCTCCACAAGCATTATCAAACACTAGCTCTAAAGCCTACACTTTTTAACATTCTAGAGTTTTCCTCTGCAATGCATAAATCCAAGAAAAACAAATCTGAAATGCTCTTTGGGAATTTTATCCCTTTGTAGTTTTAGCTTGACTGCAAACAGCAAGGGCTGTGTTGCACGCAGCTCAAGTCTCATTTATCTGTCTGCTTTAGAAAAGTAATAACAGTAATCTAAGAAAGCTTAATTATTCACCCAGTCCTTCATTCAATGTTGTTGCAGCCTGGTAATTTTTGTTAAATGGCAAGTTAAGGGGACCTCAGCTGAACACAATACATTAACTTACAGCAGCAGCACAGAACAACTCACCCCAGAACAGACATTCCCACAAGGCAAGACTTTATCAAAATAAATACTGACATTATTTCTCCTGTTCCCCTACATCAACAAAAGCACTATTAGACACTCTTCACTCTGGGACCAACTAGCACATTGCTGTGAATTTTTTTTTTTTTTTTTCTAAATGTTAGAACTTGGGCAATGCTAAAAAAACCCTTTGGATTCACATGTTTGTATTACATGCTTGTCACCAAGCTAAAATTCAAATTCCAAAAAAAAAGCAACTTCAGGATGCACAACTGTGACAGCAATTCAATGAAATCCCTCTCAGCATCCATTCTAAGCTGCTTCCCTTCCAAACTTACATTTTCAAATTAAAATGCTTTAAAACTGCAAACACTACATTTCCCATGATTTTCAGTCAAGGGACAACACAGAAGGAACTCTTAAGGAAGGAAGGCTGACCCTGCCAGAGAGTGATAAATAGGCATGGTAATTTAGAACTGTAACTACATGCTGGTGATGTTCTAAGTTTAGAAATGAGGGTACAAAGAAAAGGACAGAGGACACAGCTGAGTAACCTAAACACCTGATATATGTTGATCCTGCAGATACATCCTTAAATTCAAAGTTTCTGGTTGAGAAACCTTTTATCTTCTCATAGATAGGAGAATAAGCTTGAGAGGTGGAGAATTAGAAGCAGCACAAATTTATCAAAGTGTGTAAGAAGAGAGACATGCCTCTGGAAACTTGCTGGGAAAAGTCTTTTCAAAGGCCCAAGACAGCTCAGTGCCAGGGTAAATAAAGTTAAGTTCTGCCAGTGAAAAGCCAGAAGATGCATTGTCAAAACTGAGACAAGAGCTCTCAGCTCCAGAACACAAACTTCCTAACAGGTATTAGAGTGTATCTCTAGAATGTATCTTCTCAAGAGTAAACATGTTTCTCACCTCAAAGACTAGTAAAAGTGGTAAAAATGGAATTAAAAGCTTTCCTCTCAAGTTTATTAACCAAGGAGACAGCTTTACTCAGCACAGTAGCTGACTAATGACTCTTCTATTCCATCCTACAGAAAGAGACAGGTCAGGTTTAGAAAAGTATCTGAGAAGCAAAGTTTTGATACCAGAGATACAGTCAAAGAACTAATATTTAGAATGTTTAAGTGGAGTTGTATCTGTAAAAAAACCACACTTCTATGTTTAGACTAGTCCACAGAAAAATAATCCTCCCCACTAAAACCTAAACTGTCTCAGCAGAAGGCAGAATACTTACTGACTTACCTTTAAATACCTTTTATAATGCCTATAGGTTACCAGCCTGAGCACATTTTGTATACTATCTGGAATTTTTACATTTCCTAAGAAATATTATTAAATTTTTTTAGTCTTAAGCTCTGAAAGTCTGCACATAGAAGACAACAAAAAGGTGAAAAGAAACTTTACATTGAACCAGCAAGAAGGATTTTAGGCCAATATAGTTAACCCTCTTAGCCATTGTGCTTCAAGCAAACATAGCCTGTGGTTTGATAATTTTATATTTGATAAAGTGAATTTCAGTAGCTCAAAATCTTGCACCACTGTAGTTCAGAAGGAAAAGGTTCTTTTAGAGGTGTTTCCTGTTTATAAAAGATACTGACCCTGTTCTGGTAATGGCTGTGTCAAACACCCTCTACCACAAATACGTTCATAAACTTCTGATATGTGCTCTAAATGGTCACTGAGAAGTAACAGATACTCAAAACTCCACTCAGATGTAACAGCCATGGCATAGAGACAGAAAAGGATGCTGATTTATGATGTGCATTTCCAGCACCAATTAAAACACTTATTTGTTTACATAAGCTTTCACTTGCCATTTAAGAAAAGAAACTTTATTCTTATTCTGCGTCCTGATTTCACAGAATATTTGGGTTTGAGAATCAGACATGTTTGAACAGGAGTGTATTAAGAACAGCTGAAGTTTAAAAGCATTATTCATAAGTTCTGTCACTGAAAACCAGGCACCAACCTTGCAACTCTTCTGTCTCAGGTACTGTTTTGTCCACAGCCGTACTATCCGGTTGGGATGATGCTACAGATTCTGTTAAAAGTGACTGACTGGACACAGGGCTGAGGGGAAAAAGAAGAAAATTATCATTTTTATTATGCATTTTCACATTCTTTTCCTGTAAAATACATTAGGGCACCTCTTGATGAGAATATTTCACTCTGAAGCTGTTTGTGTAACCACTTAAAACTGTTACAATCTGAACTGACACAAAAGGCAAACGTTTTTTTTTCAACTCATACTGAATGCAACAAAACAGTTCCACTGTAAAAAAGGAAAAATATTTTGGGTGGTTTGGCATACCATCATTCCACACAGAAGCAACAATGCAACATTCAATATGCAAGGATCTTTATAACAGAAGTCAACAAGATAATCGTAGAGGAGACAGTTTCAGTGTTCTGGTGATACAAACGAGAAAATTGCAGCATGTCAATGTTTCCAGTAATAAAGCTGCAGCAGCTGCACACAGAAACCTTTGGATTCTCACAGTGTAAAGTGGTGCAGGCTAAACTTCCCAACCCTTCAGCCATACTGCTAAATCACAGCATGGCTGAACACTCACCAGTGAGCACCTTGAGCAGTTTACAGAGAGCAATTCAACACTAGACGTAACTCCCAGCCAAGCTGCTCATCCAGCAGCTCTCCTATGGAACAACACAGTGCTACCTCTTGCTTGGGACTTGAGCTCTATCTCATTTGCATTTTTTTTCCTCCTTTCAGCTGAGGGATTCACTCTGAAGGCAAAAACCAGATTATCCAGCAGCCCATGAACCAGCGCTCCATGGCACAACAGGAGCACTGGAGTTGCAATTTTAGTTGTCAAGAACTGCATGTAGGTCTTGAACTGCCCCTCTGGCCACCTACAAAAGGGCATTGTCAATTTTATCTGTCCTCAGACTATCCTGAGGTATTTCCAGAGACTGAAATTAAATTCCTGCTTTTTTTTATTTCGAAAACAAAAACCCAAGCAAGTGACACTGATTTTTTTCGAGCGCAAGTCCAAGAGCAACCATCCCCTCCTTTCTTCTGCAGTCAGTAATCAAGCTAGTGATCAGTGAGGTACTTCTATTCTTTCATGGTTTTATTGAAGTTGTGACAGAACAAAGGCAAGGCACTGTAATTGGTTCACATCTGTGCATTGACCTGGATGAACTTTTTTTTTTACACACTCCAGAAGACTTGTTTCAGGGTAAGACACGTATTTTCTACCCCAACTATAAACCTCAGAATGGAAAGACTAAATATAGCATCAAGCATGGCACCTAGCTCTCAGTTCATATGCAGGATCCAAGCATGAGATGACACCTCCTATAAAAAGCTAAGGAGCAGAAAAGTCTGAGCTGAATCAATCAGCAGGAACTGATGAAATCTCCCTTGCCCTGTGTTCTACTACATTCATTTTTTTAAAAGAAAAGTTGAAGTGAGTATTACTGCAAGATTAGCTTCCATAGTATGTAACACACTAACACTTTTCACTCAAAAAATCTCCAAAGTGCTTAAGCTGCTGTTGGTTGTGTCACTCTAAACAGAAATGGAGCCACTAAATATAAACAAATATTTAGCTTTTACAAATGGAGTACACTTCGTAAGTCTGAGTGATTTATAAGAGGATATTATGTATCCTTGAATAACCCAGATGGAAATTACTTGTTTAATAAGAGATCAATTCAGTAGCACAACTTGTACCAAGACTTGTGTCTTTACCCTGTTCTAGTACTCTCCACTTCTTGCAAAGCAACTGGCTTGTTAACACATTATCATACATTTATTTATGAGAGCTCTCGTAAACAGCTCCCTGCCATTTTACAAAATCCTCAAATTTCTAGGATGAGAAGAGTCCTCCTTTGGTAAATGTACAACTACAAGTTGAGGAAGCAGAAGAGCAGCCAGACAAATCTCTGTAGAACAGAAACTGACAACTTCTATTTGAAGCTAAATTCTAAAGACAAATTTCCATTTGAATGCCAGATGAAGCACAGAGATCTGCTAGCATTTACCCTGGGATCCCATGCTTTAAAGTTAGCACTGAAATCTTACACCTTTTCCTAATCCCGGTTCCAGCATTTAATTATGCAGGATCAGCACACTTCCTTTAATCATTCTGACAGAGATTTTTCTGTAAAGACACAGAGCAGACTGAAGCACCTTACCTTGGCTGCATAGATGGAGTCGATGTAGAATCTAAAGTGGACTGAGTTTCCTGGGCACTGCCCTCTGTGCACTGGACCGGTAAGGACTCGGTGATGCTACTGACAGAGGCTGCTGCAAGACACACCCAGGGAAAAGGGGTTATTGCTGCTTCCTGGATCACAGAACTCACACACTGCATTTACTCTCTGACCCCGACAACATCAGCCAGGAGAGTAACTGAATCTCCACCTACACCATAAGGAAATGTAATTTTACAAAAAAGTAATTATGTTGGGCCATATTTTGATCTCATTCCGGCCCCAGGCCCCCAGAACTTACATGGCAGAAAACTCTGAAGCTGGAGCTTTAAAGCAGTTACTATTATTTACTAATTAAAGCATCTACAAGCAGCTTGCTCAGCATAAACTGCTGTACTCTGACACAAGAAGCTGGTGTTTAAAAAAACCAAGATGGATCTGGGAAAATATCAATATAACATCCTAATGCCAACTCCAGATGCATTTTGAACATGTAGAACCCAGATCCCCAGATTTCACTAGAAGATATTGCTTCTACTTAAAAGGTGAGTTTGAAGGAAAGGCAACAGTACACAGGGCATTGGGCCAAAAAGAACAGAAAGTATGTGAAGTTAAGGAGAAACTATTGTTGCCTTTTCCCAACCTGAAAACGAAACTCAAAATAATTTTAGTAAGAGTAGATCTTTTCTTGAAGGTCTTCAGGGGAAGTTATGTGAAGATGTCCACAAAAGCCCCTTAAGGCCTTCAAAAGGAAAAGGCATCACTATCAAGGGTTTACAGGTTAATCTTTAAGAATAAGGTCACAGAGATGAAATACCTGTTCTTAAAAGGCCTTTCACAAACATTCCCCAAACTCAATCCTATCTCTGTCAGTAATTCCAGCAAAAATATGTTGTAGTGCTGTTTTCTGCATTTTTATAATTTCAAATCAGAAACACTCAAATGAATACAAAAGGTATTAGTGAGAGTCTTCTGAGCAGATTAGTGGCAACACAATTACATTATGGGCATTCCATCCAAGCTCATTCCGTAAGGGAAGATGCTGGAATGAAATGGTTTGCACTAATGCCCCAACAATCAGTATCTGGACATGGCCAGGAAGCTGCTGCCTGCTGGGTGAGGCTGAGCTGCTGACACACACACTGTGTGCTGGGGTTACTTACCAGGAGGGCTAATTCTACCATTACTGTTCTGCCTTTGAAGGTGTTCTTTGTAGCACACTGAGCACATGCCATTCGTGCGAGGATTCCCGTAAAATCCGCAGCCAGTGGAACACAGCATAGGCACTTGGCTACGGTTAGTTTCTTGAGCCATTCTCCCTTCTTCTATAAACCTGAAATTGATACACACAACCCAGCATTTAGAGGCCTGAGAAAACTCTTCTTTTACAGCTGACATTTGAAAATCTGGAATTTCCTATAGCTCAGCAAAAAGACCATCCAGAAAAAATGCCTTGTGGGTAACTCCTTGCCCTTTCCCAAAAAGCCTATTAAGTCCGCCTAATAACACAAATACAGTCATATGTAGGCTTTGCATGACCCACCCTCCCAGCCCCACCAATTTATTTTCAATATACACCCCACAAAGAAAAGTAATTTTATCAAATATTAGAAGTATTACTGCTTCTGGCAGTCAGGTGAGGAGAGCAGGGGAGGGGGACACTTATGCTGAAACCTGAACACCTGACACTGTGCATGAGGGCTGTAAAATAGAGACAAGCATGCTAACACAGGCTTACTTGCTGCATAATTATCATTAACAACAGTCACATGGATCCACATGTCACTGTTTAGTCACTGTGTCATTAGTGAAAGACGACACAACTGCTTACCACAAACCCTGGATTGTGATTTTTCACACACTAAGAAAATCACCCTTACAGGCAAAAAGTATTAGACCATGTACACAACCTCCTACTTATAAATTCACTGTGAAAATATAGTAAAAATGAGAAGTAAGAGCTATATAAGTTGAGAGACATATGATACATGAGTTGTCACATTATAAAACCCAAATTTAAGGATGTTAAATAAAGACTCTATCATTTTTTCACCCCTGGCTTGTATTAATCAAGTTTATAGATATTTGTAAGACATTACAAGAAAATTACAACAAATGACAATTTCCATCAGTGTTCTGAGACTCCTAACTATTATCAAGTGGTCTAACATGGAAATAATTTTTGACATGTCATTTCATAAGATGGAAAATTAATTTTCCATTTCCCTCCTCCATAAATATACAATTGCACTTTAACAAATTCAAAAGAAAAAACAGCTTCACATTAAGAAACTAGATATATCAAGGTAAAAATGACTTACACTTAATTCAAGATCAACTTAGGTCTACCATTTCCTGATTAAAAAGTAAGCTGAAGCATAGGTAATTTTAATTCTTGCAAGTCAAGCCAAAGATAAGCAATATTACTGAAAAAATAAAATCCATCTTGCAAGTAACATCAGTATACATTTCAAACAAACAAAAAAAAAATCCAGAGGGAAAGGAGTTGCAAGATACTTGAACACTTCACCAATTGCCATGTTATAAAACTAGATGAAACCATAGTAGTGCCACACTAAATAAGATTTCCTTTTACATAAGAGGTATTCAAAGCCAAACACAAACAACATTCCCATTATTTTGTTTCCAGAGAAATCTCCTCATCTCCCCTGACACCCACATCCACTCCATCTTGTTTTTATTTCCTCAAAACATATGAAATTGATACCAAGAGCAAACCTCTGGGTTGCAAAGCCAACAGCAACACAGAAACAAGTCAAGTCTTCTGCTCACAGCAGTAAGGTACTCTATGGACGAGGAAGGATTCGAGATATAAGACCAGGAAGAGGTACAGGCAGGAAGACAACCAAAATCTGATACTATCTTTTTCAGCTTCAACCTGCAATTAAGCTTATTTCAGCTGTTGACTACACTCCCCCACCCCAACAGAGAATCACTTGCTTTCAACATACAAAGCCCCCATTGACCTCACACGACAGACAAATTTGATTTTTTGCTGAAGTACTGCACTTGTAGCTGAAAGAGCACTTTCATTCCTGCTTTTCTCCAGACAGTCTTTCAGAATGAAACTGCAAGTAGTGCATGTGGAATTTAATTCTTATGCTGGGCCCAACATTTCAGAGAAGCCATTTCAGGGAAGTGCAAATGAATCTGAGTTTGCTGTGCTTTGGTAACCAGAACCAATTTAAATCTGAAACCTTACGCAAGTCACTTTTGGCATAGAATGTTTAAGATTGAAAGACTAATTAAAAACACTTTCGACTGAATATTTCAAGAGCTAATAGAGATTCAATGTCACAATGTAATATTAATCCTTTTAACTTTAGGCAGCAGCATATTAAAGAACCCTACACTAACTTCCAGATTGTACCATGATTTTCTTTCTGTTCAATATTAGCTTCAAACAGCACACAGGATCTCAGTAACTGCACCAGCCACTGCTAATATTCTCCAAGACAACATTGCTGAAGGGATCAGGTGCTAACAGAAACACAGAATAACAATCTCCACTTGGATGTAAAAAAAAAAGAAAACTTCTGCTCCAATTCAATAAACAAACTGTGAAAGGTGCCCAAAGATGCCCAGATGAAAAACAAGAAAAGCTGGCCTGAGTTCCAGCTAAGCCAGTTCCCAAGTTCATTAACCAGTGGATCCTGTCACCAGTCAAAGCACAAGCCACTGGCATGAGGCTCCAGAACACTTCAATCTCCAAAGGGAAGTGCCAGGGATTCTTCTGCAGAGTTTTAATAAGGGCCACAGGAAGCGGAAGATCTTTCATTGGTTGCTAATATTTAAGAAATACAATGAATAAGAGATAGGATCAACCTGATGCAATGCTATGAAGCCAAAGGAGAACTTGCACCAAGACAACAGCTTGTTGGATATGAAGGGGACAATTGGGTACAATCCACCTCACCCACACATTTACTGCTGTGAGCTACCAAAAAAACCCACCAGGAAAAGAAAGGACCATCACCAACACCAAGTTTTCGACAGTTCAGTGAGCTCAAGCAGTACAGATGCAAAAACAGAACAAGTAGAAAGTCCAACACAGGAGAGCCTCTGGAACTGATGTGAGGAAGGACAGGTTGCCCCCAGGAGGGACAACACATGTTTTAGCAGCCTGTAACTCATCTACTTGAACCCTAAAGCCACAGAATGCCAAACCAGTATAATGAGCTCTCCCATGCTTCGCCCTCCCTTGCAGTACTCACATGTACCAAAATGAAACAAGGAAATGATCAAACTTAAAAAAATCAACCACTTCACCTTCTGCCAATTAGTTTCAACACAGATTGGTTTCTGAGTTCATTTGTCACGTGTGTGCTATTTGGGCAGGAGAGAGGGTCTAGCTGCAGACACGCGTGGAAACGCCTGTTTCAGCAGCAGAGCTGCTAAGAGAGCCACTAGCCAAAGCCAGGCATTGAGAAGAGAAGGAAAGAGACCCAAGCACTGGCAGCTCTGCCCCTGCACTCGAGCCATGCCTGTCCTGTACACACAGATGACAGAGCCGTGCTGTGTGGGGACTCTGGGCCCCAGGCAAGCTGCCACCAGCAGAGCAGCCGGACTCTGGCCCCAGCACAGCAAACAGGGGCAGCGAGGGATCACAGAGCAGATGTGTTTGGGGGAGGGAAGGACCTCCCACCAGCCCAGCTCTTGGCTCAGCTTCAGATGATTTTTGTTTCAAAACCGTAATGGCTCACGCAGAAGACCCACAGCATCACTGACCCCAAACATCCCACAGAGCAGCAGAGGTGGGCAGTCACTGCTGAAACCACTGTCAGAGGGGCAGGCACGATACCACAGCTCTGGCCACTGCTGCCCCCGTCCCTGCCTGCAGCCACATCAGCTCAGCCATCTCATGCAAACAACACAAATATTTGTTCTGGTGCACTGGAGAGCTTGCTCATCTGACAGAAGATCAACTCCAGAGAAATGACATACACTGCACAGGAAGTGACATGGCTAAAAATAGGACAACCCTTTTTAGGGGCAGCAAGCCCTTGCTGAGCATCAAGCCTACTGTAAAATAAATCCCAAGTGCATACATGATCCGTAATTTCAAAATTGGCCTTCCCCTAGCTTGGCTTCAGCATGACACTTGAAGCAGCTTCATAGCTGAAATGACAACAAGGTCTTGGGATCAACATGTACGTCCCTCTCGGTTTGAGGTGTCACAAAACAAACGTGGAGCTTGTCAAGCTCCTGGAAATGCCTCTGGGCTCTGCCTGCTCCCCCAGAGCTGTGCCTGCATAGCATTCACAGAGTAATGCTATGAATTCTGAAGGTTATTCTGAATGCAGAACTGATTTATCTTAAAGAAAAAAAAAACCCAACGAAATGACAGAGCTCTTCACAATATTTTAAGCACATTCCCTACTTTGCTTTACAATATAGTTGTATAACCAGTTGTACAAGCCCTAATGAGAAGGAACAGACTAGAGGGAAGTGCAAGAGCTTTCAACAACTCCTCTCACTGCAACCCCAGGACATCTACTTCATTGAAGATTATGGAATAAACACCCTCTCTCTGTATTAGCTAAAAATTGCCAAACTTCAGCTGAAATTACCTCTGTTTCTTAAAGATATTTATTGCCACTAGAAGCATGGCAGCACATCTCTGCAGGCTAAGCCCTCCTTTTCCTACAAATAAGATGCTTACAGTCTACCTGTTCCTGTCACTCCTGCAGTACACAACTTCATTCATTTAATAATGCCCTCTTACTGCTGCTGCTACAGGTCCTGCTTTTCCTTCCTCACCATCACATCCTCAGAGTAAATTCCTCTCTGTACCAAGCAAAAAATATGGAAAGGACATGCCTATAAAAATGTATAAATTGAAGCTGTAGAAACACTAAAGCAGAGCAAATCTTCTGGATATCAAGTTCTCTGGAGAAAGAGACACATCTTCCAATATTCTGTAAAGCAAGCAACAAAATACTTGTGGACATCTCTTCCCCACAGAGCAGGCAGTGTGATACTGGTCTTCCTCCCCACTCCCTTTCTTCTTTTCCCTTTAATTAAAATGTTTATATGCCACTAGTTTCAAATAACTGATACCCCAGCTTTATAGGCTTCAAATGTTAATCAGTAAGATCAGAGAGAGCAGCATTTAGCAGGATTAAATACACAAGGTTTAAGAATAATCTCTTTCACTGCTCCCCCCCAATTCTAGACAAGAAAAAAAAAAAAAACCTGGCACAGAAGCCAGCTTTCTCTTTATCTGTCTTCCCCAAAGAAAAAGGTCTCTTGAATACCAGTTACCCTCATACTTCAGGTTCTGGTAAGGAAAACAAGCAGATCCTCACACCC